CGTACAAATTGAAACTGTTTCGCGATGTATGTGTACTTTTTCAATAGCTGTCCGGAACAATCAGACGTCCCGAACGATTATCATTCTAGATTGTATCTTTACCTGGCTCCGCCCAGCGGAATAATAAAGGTCGGCTGCTTCTCTCCTCTGAATACACGCGCATCCAAAGGTGGCAATCATTACGATATTTACGACGAGTTATTAACGTCGTAAGAAGAAACACACTCGCCGTTCTCTCTCTTGTACTCGACCATTCGAACAACATCCATCCACTGCACTCGCTCGCATTGTCCAAGCTTCCTGAGGAATCGGCAATTATCGATAAATCTTCAACCGAAACGCAAGAAAGTTCCCCCGGTCGTATGAAATTAAAAGAAACTACTTCTTCACAGTTGTCTCTTCCTTTCCTGCTACGTTTGTTTGCAAAAACAGAAACCCAGTAATTAGCAGACGTATAAGAATGAATTACCTACGTCCTCGAACCGCGGAAAAGTATCCCGAGCCCGTCGAACGATCACGTTGTCCGTTCGTTGCACGAAGTTACAACAACAATAACGCGTTTGATTTACGATTAAGTTGTCTCTGTTAAACTCCGCGTGGCCAGTGGTGAAGAAGTCCGTGAAGGACTTCTAGCAGCTTCTCCGACGACGGCGATAAACGCGGGAAGGATCCGCGAGAAGAGAAGAGAGGCCTCTATTCCTCTCGTACACCCGGCCGGACGTTTATTTCGTATGGATAGAGGACTCCTCCCAGAGACTTGTTACGGAGGAGTTGTACCGCGGCAACAGGCCAGGGAAATGCACTTAAGAGCGGCTAGACAATAAAAGTTGCGTCGTAAAGTTTGTCACTGGGTGAGCAGCGGCCGGTGCCCGCCGGTTCGTTAATTTCTCAGATTTATCGCCGCGTAAACTTGTTGAATCAATGTTCTCCGCGGTGGAGCATTATGATTCGTTATGTAAGGCTAATCTTTCGTTGCTTTTTCCGAGGGGACACAGTTTGCTCGTGGGGACGATTTAGAAAGAGAGATGTTGTAGGGTCGTTCTTGATAGAGGGGAGTGTTTCGTCGAGGTTAGATGTCGAGCAGTAATGATGTGTGTAAGAGGTTGCTTATTCTTGCGAATTTTTACGACTTGTGGAATAATTTTTTAATAAGTCGAGAGATAGGGTGAGCGCGTCTAATTTCGCCTAGCAAGATTTGTCGTTCTTAATTAAAGGGTGATTGGTAATTTTTTAATTGGAAAAACACGAAGCAAGCAAAATCGTGAAGATTCTTTACTGAAAGAATTCTTTATTATGAAAATTACAAAATATAATTTTTAAGTATTTGAATGGCAGACAATGCTCAGCTCCGTAGTTTCGCAAATTGCATTCATTTTATAGAAATTTTAACCCTTTCGTTACTATTGTCGCCTGTAGGCGTTTTGAAAATTTGCTCGCACTATAGGTACTGCCAGAGCTTTTTGACGCACTTCCACCTTAATTTAATAAACCGAATTTTAAAATAAGAAACTTTGCAGCCACGGTTAAAAATTGACCGTCAATCACCTACGGTACGTATTAAAATCTGCCGTAGCGAAAGGGTTAAATTGATCTCTCCCAGTGCGACGTTCAATTTTCACTATCAAGATTCACCAAAATACATAGTGAGTCTCCCTACACACTTTTGCCCATTCACGTTATCACCAACAAATATTTCACTACTTTATTTAGAAAATCTAACGGCGAGCGATATTAGACGCACATGCCCTACACGTAGAACTAAGTTTCGACTGAAATCCTATCACTTAAAATAGTCTGACGTCAATAGTACGAATTCTCCAGACACTTTGACAGATATCAGCTGACAATAGGGTCCTACCGTGTTGCAGGTCCGCGCACGAGAAGGGTGAAGAGGTCGGACGGCCGCGGCAATGGCGGCACCCCGGAGGAGAAGCGGCCTAGGACCGCGTTCAGCGGTGAACAACTGGCAAGGTTGAAGCGTGAGTTCGCGGAGAATCGATACCTAACCGAGCGAAGGAGGCAACAGCTCTCGAGGGATCTGGGCCTGAACGAGGCGCAGATCAAGATCTGGTTTCAGAACAAGAGGGCGAAGATCAAGAAGGCCAGCGGCCAGAAGAATCCGCTCGCCCTTCAGCTGATGGCCCAGGGTCTCTACAATCACTCAACGGTGCCACTGACGAAAGAGGAGGAGGAACAGGCGGCGGAGCTTCAAGCGAAATGACGACAATAGGATCGAGCGAATATCTCAGCCTAGATTCCGTCGATGACTCGTCGTCGTCGTCGTCGTCGTCGTCGTCGTTCGTTTCCCGCCACACGAGGCAGAAGAAACCTTTTTTTCCTTGTTTTTCTTTGTGGGTTTGAATGACGGTGATTTTTGTCGAGTGAAGATGAAAGTTAAGCGGATGAATGTTTAGTCTTAGCTAATTTAACGTTCCTCCCGTGAATTTTATAAATTATCATCGACAACGTCGTCAATTTATCGTACCTTCTTCTTCGGCGATTTGTACTCCAAAGATTGAAACATTTCTATTTTCATTTTCTTGTCGGAATATTTCTCGAGCTTGATGATCGTCGAACGGTTGTTTCCTTTAAACACGAAAGACTGGGATATTTATTTCTGAAAAAATTGTAGTGCCACCAACCGGACGTTTAAGCGACTGCTGAACGAATTCGAACGATTCGTTGTCTTTAGAGCTTCCCGGATTGAATCGAGGTCGCAAGCGAATCGCGAGAGGAAAGCTGACGAGTTACCGGCGTCGAGAATCGAACGATGGTTGTCGGCGAGCGAGCGTCTCGAAACGATAACTATCGTTCGACTCGTTTTGCAAAAGGGAGGACATTAGCACGCACGTTCCTAGCCGCCACCACTTAAATTTCATATCGAACCGAAGTGTATGTAGAACTGATTATGCGTGTGGTGAATTACCGGAAGTCACAGATGAAACGGGGGTTGTACAGTGCCATTTGTACAGTTTTCTCGCGGACAGTAGGATCGAAACAATACGAAAAGAAGAGGAGAAAAAACGGTCGTCGTTCTCTGACAAAAGAGAGAACCAGTATTCGAGACAGAGAGAATGATAGAAAGAAGAAAAACGAAACTTCACCGAGAACGTAAGACGAATGAATGTGAACGAGAGAGAGAGAAAGACAGTGAGAATATGAAGCTAGTTTCTGTTCCGTTAATTTATTGTAAAAATGTAAGATATCGTACAATTGCAATGTGCAATAGAGAACGTTATACATATACATATGTACGGAGAGAAGAAAAAAAAAATAGAAACGACCTATGTATAGGTTATATATATAGTATATATAAAAAAAGATTGATAAATCGTCGTGTAAATAAAACGCAACCTTAGCGAGAACGTCGTCTCGATAGACTGTTTAAAAGTAACTTAGTTATTTATTTACCTATGCTAATGCGGAATGGCTCGATAGAGTGTATCGAGCGGTCATACCTTGTAAGAATTATTTAAAGATCGAATTAAATATTCCCACTATCACGAGCCACGTATCGACGTACTACTTGTTCTCTCTCCTCTCGACCATTCACATCCTCTTCCTTGTGGTCCACAGAATTCGTTCGTCGACCGGGATAAACCCTTTTGAAAAAGTAAATAAAGTATCACGCGCAAAGACACCGACGATGTTTGCCTCGAGATAATTGCACGATTGAATAATCGCGCCGCGGCACCGGTCAACCGAATTATCCAGGTAATTAACGACAGTCCTGTTCACCGAGAGCAACACCGAGATACCGCGTTTTTTCTACGCCAGATAGCAATATACTGAAAGTTGCAGCTTGATTTTTCGTCAGAGACTTGTGAATTCGTCGAAGGAACAGATAACGGAGAGACACGGAGATAATTAGTACGTAAGAACTTAATACTTGAGATCTCACGCGAAAGAATTGGCAATATCTATAGAAACCAGAATCGAAGTTGAAGAAAGAATTGTGAAGGAAGGAAGGAGAGAAGGCGATCGCGATAGCTCGGAGACGTTAACGCGGCGGAACGAAAGCGGTACTAGACGCGTGCTAATTAACACGAGAGGGAGGAGGGAAATCAATCGGCGGAGGCAGATGTTTATCGAAATGCATCGGTCGGCGACGCCGTAGGAGAGAAGAGAGGAAGAGACGGTGGCGAGGTGATCGGTGTCGGGATAAAAGGTTCGGGGCGGGTCGATTCGCATTCAGCATTTGGCGCATGCTTCCACCCCCGAGCCGTATTTCTGGCCCGCGCTAACCCTGTGAAAAGCCCCTCCTGCCGGCGCGATATCGATTGATTTACAGTCGAAAGGTGGCCATCGTTGATATCAAACCAGCCACGCCTACGTTTATACCGTGAACGCGATATGTGCGTGTGCGTTGCGTTGTACACACGGTGAGTGGTGTCTGTTAACGCACTTTATACATCATTTAACATCCGCCAGCGTTGTTTCAACGGCCCCGTCTCTCTCTCTCTCTCTCTCTCTCTATCTCCCCTACGTTCGTAGAAATTCCTTTTTCTACGTGTTTGCACGTAGAGATACGAGAAACCGAGTGATTCTCGATGTTCTTAGAGATTCTTCTTCCCCTAAACGTTAGCGAAAGACTCGCAGAAAAGCGAGGGCGTGTAGAGGTCTATCGTATCCAAGTTAAACGACAGTCGTTAAGAACGAAAGTGAACAGCAGATCGAGGATAGAGTTCGTCGACGTTGGTGAATAAATAATTTCATCGGCGTTCCCTTCTCTCTGCGTGTACCAGCGACCCCCGATTTTTCTTTTTCGACAACCGAGCGGTCCTTGCCCGGAAGATCGTCCAGGATGTCTGAAGATCCTTCGGGAAAGGTACCTGGTAAGTAATAGACGACATTAACGTACAAGCTTCGCCAGAGTGGAGGAACCTGACGATGAGTGATCTACGACGATTACTTTTTACAAGAACTTCTGTTGGAAGAGAGGGCGGAAGCTGTTTACCTGAGGCGATCCCACAATTTTTCATCCGGTAAGAATAAAAATACAATTTCCAAGTATCCCGATTCTACGACTTTTAGAATACCTATCAACCGTCGTATCGGGTGAATGCAATCTCTCGAACCTTTTCTCTCTACCGAGCTCGCGTAAAGATAACGACTCTGGAGGTTAGCTAGAGAGGCGTTTAAAGGACGTTAATGCGATTCGTCGTCCGTTGGAACCGATGGAAATTGCCGTTCCTCGCCGCCTCGTAATGTCCACTCCGAAAATACGTGGTCGAATTGGCCTGGAAGTGGAAGGCAACGCAACCGATACGTCCCTGTCAGATTAGAATCGCGCCACTTGACAGCACTCGCGCTTCTGTCCGTCCGGTCTCGAGGCTACTTCGGGTCAAGCGCGGCGCAGATCCATAAAGACGATTCTCCGTGGCTCCTTTGTCCAGGAATCTTTACAAATGAGATACAACCAGGCGTAGAAGAAAAGCTCGGAGGCACGTGAGGAGGAGGCAAGCCAGGCATTAACCCTGTGACCGACCCGTTCGACATTCCTGGGCAACCGTGTGCGCGTTGTGACGCGACACGGGGACAGGCCTTGGGGCTCCGTCGAAATTATGCACCCGACACCGTACCCGTGATTCATTCCACGGTGACGTGCCCCCGACCGACACTTTTCGAATAGCCGATTAAACGAATCCGGGATAGATACCGGTCACCGATTGAAACATCGATGATCCGCGGGAAAAAATCGTTTCCGTTTCACCGGGAGATTTCTGATTCCTCTCAGACACGACAGTTGTGTTTTCTGCTGTCTGCAAGGTAGGTATAGTCGCTCGGAGAAGACAACTTGCATCTCCTTTTCAGTCCTTTTCAATTTAAACAAGGCGTAAGAAGAACGACGATCTTTGGAAAATAATGCGCTTTTAGTTGGTGGTCGCTATTTTTCTCACGCGTTGAAAGAAGAGTGACAAATTTTTGATTTCAGTACGATATATAAATTTGCGAAATAAATTTCGGAAAACCCATCGACAGTATTCGATTTTCAAGTTTGGCCCGTTGCAGAAGAATGATTGCTAAATATTAATAATTTTCGAAAAGACCCCATGATTTCAATCTAGAAATAATAAAAGGAATAGTACCGACAGTATCGGCTTTTCAAATTTGTCCCACTGCAAGAAAAGATTATTTATCACTGGTCTAGAGTACACTAGAGTACAGAGTTACTTCTGACACGCTGTTATGCACCAGACTGTACCTCTCACTTATGCATGCAACACACCGTATATTAGCCACCGATTCTCGACTATTTTCGGAGAGAACAGCATGTAAATTCGACAGAGATTACCGGTGAATCGGTCATTTTGGACCAGTCTCTGTTTATACGGGGTCATTGCGAGCGATCTCCGGAGGCACACCGGTATCCTTCTATCGCCTGCTATAAATCGCGGTGGAAATCGCGCGCGTTGCACCCAAGACTCAATAAAGTAACGCGGAAGGGAATTATTGGAGCCGGCTAATCAGCCGTAAATAACGCCGTAGAATTCTCTACCGGTGCCTGCTCCAACGATAAGCTCGACTCCGCCATAGGAAAAAGTGGAAATGGTTTATAGATAAGGGGACGCGCTATCAATCGACGTTGCACTTACCGCGCTTGCATACCTCTCGTCGCGTTCTTCGCGTACCATCGATATATCCCAACACATGGAGCGAAGCTTTGGTCCGATCCTATCTTAACCGTACGATTTTTAACCAACTTTTACCTTCGCTCACTCTACTTTTCCTTTCTTTTCTTCCTTCGTCTTTGTTTGCGTTCTCTGGCCGACAACGTCGTTTCTTTCACTCTTATCTCGTGAAAGTTCTCTCGGCCATTGCAATTCTTACTTCTGTTTGTTTCATCGTTTTATTATAATTAAGGCTATCTGAGTTTCCTTTCAGATTAGAACTAATTAAATTACTAACCTCTTTGAAACACTTTTTTAAGTTTCTATTTTCAGAGCGCTTAGCTCACTGTAGAATTCAAGTTTTGATATATCACGCTATATTTATGCTAAAACGTCAATTCACCGAAAATTTGAGTAAGGCAACTTGAGCTGATGGTCTTTATTCCTACGCAATTTTCATTTCCGTTGTTCCGCTACTTCTCTTTCCGCTGTTCACTCGGCGGCGGAGCCGCGCGGGATTAAGAGAAGGATAATAATTCGTGGCGGCCGTGAGAGATCGGTAGACCGAGATCTTCAAGGATGATCGTCGTTAGTGAACGGGGCATTAGTC